TGATGGGTCAATGCTCTAAAGACTCCCGCATGCGTTTACATGAATACCCCCCCGTCCCCCCCGGGGTTTGCCATCGGGGTTGGGTTTTCGTAGATTGGCAACGGACCCCCCCCCCCCCCCCCCCCTCGGTGTTTGCCATCGGGAATGGGTTTTCGTCGCTTGGCAACGACGTTGTAAAATAAGCCAAGTCACTTCGTGAACTCGGCAACCAGGTTACCGTTTTTTTTTTTACCTCTGTTTTTTTTTTGCGGTGACCATGAATGGTGGTCGAGTAGATCATGTTGTGCGGGGTCGAGAACCCTCACTCCGCGCAAGGGGGATGATCGCAGCACGTTGCGTTAAAATGGTCGAGCATCCTCGAGGCGGTTACACAGTGCTTCTAACTGTCTCTGGAAGTGAAAGCACCAGAAAATAAACTAAGTCATACGCAGCTGTCATTCGTACGCAAGGAAGTAAGCACAAGATGCCGAACACCCTTAGCAGGATGCAGCGCACCCTTCATGCGACTCGGAATACCTCACGGCGCTTCGCGCTTGGTGATGTGAGAGCCTGGTCCTGTGCGAACCCGGCGTGCTCCGTCCCGGCTTTGTAGGGATGCGAGGTCGATGGCCTAACGACTACGGCATGCACGACTATGAGTACCCACACATGTCCATGTGGCAAATCGGAGGAGAGTAGACCCCACATAGTTGGGGAGTGTGAGTTGTACAGGAAGGAAAGAGAGGATCTCGAGGAGGAAATGAGACAGAGAGGATGTGACATGGACAAGTTTGGTAAATTAGACAACAGCGAAAAAACGATCGCGATAATTGGGGATAGATGGTGGGCACGAGAGGCCCTAGAGGACGGGGATAAGATGTGCAAGAAATTTTTATGGAATTTGTGGCAGAAACGTAAAGAGCTCCCAAATGTTGGTGGTGTCTCTAGTAGGTGTAGGAACGGTGCTCCGTCTCGAAAGGGACGCGTGGTCAATGGTCAAATGACTACGGCAAGCAACAAATGAGTACCCCCCCCCCCCCCTCCGCCCGCACGATATGCCCCACCCCCACGAGGTCGTGACTGAGGATCACACTCGAACCCCTCCGGCAATCACACCCCTAACCTTGCACTACCGCCCGCCTGCTTCTTTGCTGTATCCTGGCGGGCCAACTGGAAAAATCGTTTTCACGGTACAACAGTCTCAAGAGATAGCGGAGCTGTTTTCTCGACTGTCCCAGCACGCGGGTTCGCAAGCGGCGACGAAGTTCGCGGGTCAGGTGGGAGCGGCGGCGAAAGCGGCGGGAGGCGGTAGCTTTAACCGGCGAGATCTGGCGGAGATTTTCCGCTCGGTGAGTCCAGCTGGAGGGACGGGGGGGGGGGGAAAAACAAAAAAAAAAAGGGGGGGGGGGGGGGGAAAAATTAAAAAAATACCCCAAATCTTTGGGGGTTTAACCCCCCCCCCCACAAAGGCGGGGAGGAAAGAAAATGCCGGGTTTACCCCGCCCCCGGTCACTTTTTTAAAGGAACACCCCGGGGGGGGGGGGGGGGGGGGGGGGGAATTTAGGGGGGGGGAAAAAAAAAAAAAAA